ATCAAGTCTTCTTCCAAATGAAATCTGTAAGGCCAGTTCAAGCACGACGTTCCTGGCTTCATATTTTATGAGGTCATGAAGCCCTAAGCTTCAGATATCCTCACCCATCCTCCCATCACAAATGTATCAGCATCTCTACACCAAAGCTAGCACAGTAAGAAGGAGTGCATAGGGCCAATGCTTTTTCCTAAGTTCATAAAACATAATCTATGAAGCTGGGAATATTATGTCGTAAGTGGTCTACTGCCCCAATTGACAAAGAAGTACTATGTAGACTATGTGTTGCTAAAGGCTGTTTTAATCAAAGTATTTAAAAAAACTTAATCTCTGATACAGTATATGTACAATTTAGTCACACAGACATCTGACTAGTCCTGAAATTGCTTCTGGTCCCACACCATGGAATACATCAGTAGCACTGCGTGTTAAGGTCTGTTGATAACAGCACTGCTTTGAGGAAGGGGAGACTGCTGCTTGCCTTTTAAAAAGGCAACTTGGGCTGAACTGGATTTGTTCCACATTCAGAAGGTACATACTGTACATCCTAAGATGCAGAGGACTCCTCCTGAGAGAAGAGGTGGGGAGGGCACCTTAGCTAGATCCCATGGCACCAGACGAAGTCTTAGAGAACTGCTGGGTTTGTCTGACTCTCGAGGTTGGGAGATACACCCCAGGGTGAGCACTGTTAGAGGAGGAGAGAATTTGGTTCCTATGTGTGAGGTGTCTTTAGAGTTTAGCTACCCTTCCCCACTCCTTCTCCTTCTCCACCTCCACTCAGTTCCAAACGCACACTTGGGTAAGGATGTTTATTTTGGCTTCTTCTATTCCACCAGTGCCCCACTCCTGTGACATCACATGGAATCCCTCCCCATCTTAGCTGTTGCTGAACTCATAGTCTCCGCACAAAGGTGTTTGTGTGCATGTTATGCCTGTGTAGTGTCAGTCCCTCAAAATGACACGAACAAGGGAAGGTGCCTGGGGACAGAGCGGGTGCCCGAGTGCTCCAAACTTGTGCCATTTGGACAGAAGCAGGACGTTTGTCCCAGGGTCAGGGCTCATGATGAGCCTTTTTGGTGCAGATGACCTGAGAGCGGTGGCACAGGGTCTGGGGAGAAGCTCATTAAGTCCAGCAGCAGCAGCAGTAGCAGTAATTGTGCCTCGAAAAACTTCTGACGTGTCTTGTGTGTGGTAAGACTATACTGGATATAAGCCCTGCGTGGGGAGTGTGTATGCCTATGTGGGAAACTCGGGTGGGTGGGGAGGATGTGATGGTCAAATATTTTCCCCAGCATCCACACCAACTTGCAGATGGCCCATGAATAGCTGGTTTAAGCCATTTTTAAAAATGTAAACAGGAGGTCCCCCGATAGGCACTTCCTGATTCAGTCTTTGTTTGGGGAAGGAAGGGACATTTGGAGATTCTTCCAAGACTCTTGATACCCACCCTCCAAAACAACAACAACAAAAACAACTGCTCTTGAAGACACTAGAAGCAGAAATATTTGGCAATATTTTAAAGAACCCTTTTCAATTGAGGGCTCTAGGGTTGCCACAGGGACATAACAATGCCACAGGGGAGTTGCAGGGGAACACACTGGCCATGCCAGAAAAGGGCAACAACCATTACAGCTGCAGGGCACATTTGAGTGCCTGCCCAGCCACCTAACAAACAAACAAGTTTTAAAAAACCCACTCAGCTTTGAGTTGCCATATTACTTCAGTTCAGCTGGATTTTATATAGATTTTGTGACCATTTACCCATCTTTTTGGATTCCAAAAGATCTCCTGTATGGAGAATTAGAGCAGGGAAATCGCCCCAGAGGGAGACCACAGCTGCGATACAAGGACATCTGCAAGTGGGATCTGAAGGCCTTAGGAATGGACCTCAACAGATGGGAAACCCTGACATCTGAGGGTTCAGCCTGGAGGCAGGCAGTGCATCATGGCCTCTCCCACTTTGAAGAGACCCTTGTTCAGCAGGCCAAGGCAAAGAGGCAGTTACAAAAGCAGCAAAATCAGAGAGCTGGACAGGGGACAGCTTGGATTTGTCTTCAGGGTGGAAGGGATTGTCACTCTCGAATTGGCCTCCTCAGCCACACTAGACGCTGTTCCAAGTCCTCCATACAGAGCACGTTACCATAGTCTCTCGAGACTGAAGGATGCCTAATCTTACCCAGCGTAATTGGCCCTGGAGTAGTTTTGGTCCCCACCCCTTTTATGCCCTGCCTCTATGCCATGATTAATGCCCTGCCCTCTGACACCACAAAGCCCCATTCCTGTGACATCATATGGAGCCCTGGAATCTCTAGGAATGGAACCCTACTGCCCGGCAACCCTACTCAGCTGCAACACTCTCTTCTACCCAAAGCCTCTCCCTCTCCCTGCCTTCTTTTCCCAGAAATCTTTCACATGCTTTTAGTGACTGAGGTTCTAGCCATCAGTTTAACTCCATGCCAAGAAAAGTTTCATCTGTTATTTCCTCTGTCGTGTCTGCTGATGAAAAGTATGGGAGCAGAGCCAGTAAAATGATGGCAAATCTGGTGTGGGCATGTATGTTTTCCTCTTGACCATCAGACAGGCAAGGATGTTTCCTTTGGTTATCTTCTGTGGTTGAGTGTGAGTTAGCCTGGTGGAACACAGGATTTTATCTGAAGAAAACAAAAACTCTTAATAATGGATTTCAGCCAAGGGCAGGGAAATCTGTGACTGTGGTGAGGGAATTTAAACTGCTGAGATCATTCTCACACAAAGGCTTTTTTGATTCATGCAGAAAAATGTTTTTCAAGTATTTTTCAAATGTTTATATGTTTGCCTGTTTTAAGTTTTGTTGTTAAGACTGTGGTGGTCAAACTGTGTTCTAGGGAAGTCTCTGTTTAGAAGATGGGCAGGGGAGTTCCTCAATGAGAAGAATTACTAACAGTGGACAGGTTTCCCTTAAATATAAATTGAAATTCCACTACTATACTTTCCCTTCTTCAAATAGACAAGTATAGGCACTGCATGTGTTCTTTGAGGAACTCTCATTTCAGACAGGGTGACAGGAAATCCCAAAAGGCGTAATTGATTCCTATGCAAAAAAAAGGGCTATTTCCAAAAAGGTTTATGTAGTGCAACTGCATGCATGTTCACAGAAGTGGTCCAAGTAATTTCCCCACTGAAGGGAAATCAGCAAATCCCTTCCTTGTGTCAAATCCCCTGTGTCCAGGTACACAGTACATGAAACCAGCCAAGTTATTTGGGTACCTAAGTTAGGAAATTTCTCTTGTATTTTTCCCCACTCCTAGCAATAAAAATATGACAAGAACAAACTAATAAGCTAACTGTATTTGCTTCCCTTTTGGGATGCTCAAAATCTACTACCTGAAGTGGCTGGCTCACATCATCTAACAGTCCTGTCCCCTCATGGAAAGTTATGCAGGTTTAGAAGATGCAGTCTTTGATATATATAGTTCCATCTTCCATCTTTCCCACCCAAGGAAAGACAGTACAATTGTACAACAGCTTTTGATTGACAGCACCAGGAGCCCCTCTGTTTAGAAATATTTTGGACAGCAGTGCCTTAGAAGGGGCTCTGAGATCCTCCCCAATGCACAGGAATTTTGACACTGGCCAATCGGTGTGGAAGGTGTACCCTGATAGTCAAAGACAGCCAGATACAATCTCTTTCACTATTAACCCAAACACAGGAGCCACAGAGCTGAGAGGACTTCTGTGTTGTGTTGTTTTCCACACACAATGCAACTCTCTTATAGGTGTCTACTCAAAAACAATTGAGTTGTTTTGTGACTTGATTTATATATTTGTGCAAAGAAAAACTAATTGCTGTTCAGATATATTAAATAGAAGTGTTTTATCAGGATTATAATGCCTTCAATTGCTCTTCCCTATGAGATGGATTGGAATAATGTAACACTGTGTAGTAATAATAGAGTGCTCAGCGTACTTCACATACATTACTTTTTTTTCCCAACAATGATTTGAGATCTGAATTCTCTGAAGAGCTCTGTTAATCAGATTCTTTATTGATACCAAGGCTTTGGATTTAAGAGATTCCTTTATCTCCCTGAGAACAATTTAAAGCAGACATTTAAAACAGTAATTAAACATTAAACGATGAGATCAGAACACAAGAGCTAAAACCCAGCAATACTGGAAGGTTGTCAGCTCTCTACCCAAGTGCTGCTTATTCACTTTGTGTCTTGCCTGAATGAAAACCTGCCCTCTGTCTCATAAAATCAGAACTGTAGGCATTCTTGTGAAGTTACTTTGGGTATGAAATTCTGATTGGTTCCCATTATTAGAAATTGGAGGACACTGTAGAACAAGGTTTTGTAGTTACACTGGGAATATAAACCTTTGAATTGCTGCCCCACACCCATATCACTTAGAAATGGTTTTCCAGACCCACCTTAGTTTTCACTAGAGAATTGTTCAGAGCCATGAAGGCTAAGTACTATTGTAGCAGACACTTATGTCCAGTGATCAGTGATTTAACTCTTTGTAACTTGTTAGAAGATTATAGAAATCTGCCAGTGTATGTGTTCAAGAAAAAGGTTCCCCCCGCCCCCCGATAGTGACTGGTACATTTTTCATTTATATACCCAGCGTGGCACAGTGATTAGAGCAATGGATTAGGAGTCAGATGGCCTAGGTTTGAATCCCCACTAGGTTTTAATCAGCCATGGAAGATCACTGGGGGAGTGGAGCTGGTAAAATGACTCCTTAAATATCTCACTGTTAAAGGCGCTATGAGCTAGTTCTGACTTGAGCGCGCATAACAACACATTTAGTCCACTGCCATCAATCAGACAATCAGTATTCAGTCTGTATGTGAGTGGAGTTGGATTGGTTCTATAGTATATTTCCAGAATACTCAAAATATCACTATAATCCATGCCAGAATCCTGTAAAACAGGCCTCCAGTATCCCCATATTGCAAATTTGGGACTGTGGTTGAGAGGATAGTTGATTGAACTGGGAATTTTCCTGATTTACAGATTATTTCCTTGAACCTAACCATTACATCATTCACTCTGTGCAATGGCTAGACCTTGTTCACTAGAGGTCAGTGGGAAACTATTGGTGAGTACCTACAACTTATTTTTACAGTACTTTGGAGGTGAATGCAGACACACTGGAAGGGTTGAAGACAAAGTTAATATTGTAAATTAGCAGTGCATGGAACAGAGTAGGTGTTAATTTGAAGTTTAAATTACTGTTTTACCTAACTGTAAAATGTATCACTAGGAGGCTTGAAAGAAGGAAACTGTTTTTTAGTTTAGATGTGCAACTCAACTGCAGAAGAGTCAAGAAAATCAGAGAAAATATTCCTTTTCTATGCAGCCAAATCTAGAATGTCTATCTGATTTTGCTCTTCTCATTTTGTTATGCAGCTTTGCAATCCACAATGCAAGTTTAAGAAATTCTGTATTTGAGAAGTCCCAAGACCATTTTATTTGAAATGGGCTCTTTTGCTTTCCCTTCCCATCCTTAGGACCTCCATGCAAGAATTCCTGCAAGTTGGTCTTGCAGGTGAGTCCCCCAGCTGCCTGGAAAGACTTCATCTAAACATCTGGTTAAGAGTAATTCACTTCTAAAGATTTCAACAAATATGTAATGCATGCACACAACTTACTAATCTATTTGTTCAATACAGAAAAAGATGAGGGGGAGCAATGTACCACAAGAGGGCTATGTGACAGAAGGCAAAAAACCCTATTTTGCAGAGGTTAAGCAGAATCTAATTAATGGCAAGCATTTTTATGCCTCATTCATTTCAGTGAGAAAGATTTGCAATATACCTTATCTTGAAATAAATAAATGAGACATTCAGCAAAATGCTATGCAGGCTCATTCAGAACTAAGACCCAGTAGAACTAAGAACTAAGAACAGAACTTATTCTTAAGTAAGAATGCACAGGATTACAGTTGCCCTTTACTTGATAACAGCATTTGTTTGATGGAAAACTATTATAAAAGTATTTCCACAAACACGGAGTTTAACTTTCTGCAAATTACTCCCATCCTGCAATTAATAAATGTCTTACATGATGTAACAAGCACCTAATCCTGGAGAATGAAGCATTATTAACAGAGAAGGGGGAAAACATTAGAGACAGATTTATAATGTTCTTTTTGTTTAGTTTCCAGGGATACTTAGGATTTTGTACCAACAGAATGTTTTCTAAACCAGTCATCAACATTTACATCCACAGAGGTAGATGGCACTATAATCAATGTGCCACCTTGTTCATACTACTCTAATTTGGCAAAAGATAAATGTACAGTATTACCTATTTCTAAGAGCCCTGTAAAATTACGTTTTCCACCTCTGTGAGCCACGCTTGTTAGTTAAACAGAGTCCATCCCTACGAAAGCTTGGCTTATGTGAACTTCACCAATTAAAATGACCCACTCAGAGCAAAAAAGAACTCCCTTTTACATTTAAGTTACTTTTCTTTTAGAAGAGAATGCTGACCCTTTGCCACTTTGAGGCACTTACCCAATCCTAGTCCAGTCAGTGTGAAAAGGAAAAGCAGAGGCTGAACGTAAAGCATGGTTTCAAAGTCCTGGTCTGAAAGCAGCTCCCTTGGTCCAGCGGATGCAAAAAAGCAAGCAGCCTCTCCCTGCACTAAACACAGACTGGCCTTCTGGAAAAGAGTAAGGTGGGGGGGGGAGAGAGTTTGAATTGGCAGCTGGAGATTTGGGGAGGAAATAGTCTGTGGCTCAGCCAAGTTTCTCAGGCAGGCTGCTCCTCCCTCCCTCCCTATCCCAAAAACCACCATCCTTCAGACTCCACACAGGGTCCAGTGACCCAAGCGAGCTCATTCTAGGCCAAATACGCTTGCAGTGAAAAGGGAAAAGTTTGCTATTTATTTATACTGAGCATGAATGGAATGTGCTGAAAGAGCTCTACTAAGTACACCAAAGCGGAGGAAGCAGAGAACAGCTGCTCTGGATGTTTGTGTGTTTGATTGTTATCTCTCTGTAGAGAAGTACAATTGTGGTGGTGGTGGGGGGGGAACCAAGAGGTCTGTTATTATTTGTTTGTTTACATTCTCTCCCCCCCCCCAATCTCATCATATCCTGAAAGCTCAGACCAGGTTATATTTTTTCCGCCGCAGAGTCCTAACAGAAGCATCACTTTCAAACTATGGAAGCTGCTTTCCAGCAAGGTAGACAATCAGCAGCAGAAGTCCTGGGGTTCGGAGATTTTCCTTGCCCTGACTGGAGACGACAGTGAATGAATGTGGGAACTGCTGCATGCAAAATATGTGCTCCACCACAGTAGAGAGAATGCTGCAAAGTAATTGTGCCTTTTTAAATTTTTTGTATTATTACTTATTTTCCAAAATACAAAAGGTGACACGTTATCATTATATAGGGCAATACATGTTGTGAAATTGCTATCAAGCGACATCTGCATTTTTTTTAAAACTCCACTTATTCAGGCACTTCTCCCAGTACTGTATCAGTTAAGTTCAAACAGGTATAAAGACTTTTTGATGGGACCCTCAATACTTTGTGAAAGGTTACCTCTCATTTCTAGCAGGAAATATCATTTTTAGGGAGTTCATCTTTATCCCAGATTTCAGTTACATATTAGAACCACTAGATGCATAGGGGAGGAGGTGTTGCCATCTTGGATCCTGACATCAATCCCAGCTAAAAACTTGAACAGATCATAAAGCTGTCATTGTGCAAGCACCTAGAAAACAAAGCAGTAATAACTAGAAGCCAACACGGATTTGTCAAGAACAAATCCTGCCAAACTAATTTGATCTCGTTTTTTGATCAGGTCACCTGATCAGATCAATTTGATCAGATAGACAGAGAGAATGATGTAGATGTAGTATATCTTGACTTCAGCAAAGCTTTTGACAATGTGCCCCATGATATCCTGATAAGCAAGCTAACTAGGTGTGGGCTGGATAGATCAAGTGTCAGGTGGATACATAATTGGCTACAGAATCGTCATGAGAATGGCTGACGGTCGGATTCCAAAATATCTCCTGTATGGATAATTAGTGCAGGGGAAGCGCCCCAGAGGGAGACCATACTTGTGATACAAGGATATCTGCAAGTGGGATCTGAAGGCCTTAGGAATGGACCTCAACAGATGGGAAACCTTGACATCCGAGCAGTCAGCCTGGAGGCAAGTAACATAATAGCCTCTTCAATTTTGAAGATACACTTGTCCAGCAGGCCGAGGCAAAGAGGCAGTCCTGAAAGCAGCAAAATCAAGGAGCTGGACAGGGGACAGATTGTATTTGTCTTCAGTGTGGAAGGGACTGTGACTCTTGAATTGGCCTTCTCAGCCACACCAGATGCTGTTCCAAGACCTCTATTCAGAGCACATTACCATAGTCTCTTGAGACTGAAGGATGCCTACAGAATCGTACTCAGAAGATGATGATTAATGGGTCTTTCTCTAATTGGGAGGAGGTTACTAGTGGGCTACCCCAATGCTCAGTCCTCGGCCCAGTGCTCTTCAGTATTTGTATTAATGATATGGATGAGGGAGTGCAGGGAATGCTTGTCAAACTTGCAGATGATACCAAATTGTGCAGAATAGCTACTACCCTAGAAGAGAGAAACAACATTCAAAATGAGCTGGATAGGATGGAGTACTGGGCCGAAAGCATCAGAATGAAATTCAACAGGGATAAATGCAAAGTACTGCACCTCGGAAAAAGAAAACAACTGCACAGTTACAAGATGGGGCATACCTGGCTCAGCAAAACTATGAGAGAGAAGGATCTTGGAATTGTTGTAGATCACAAGCTAAATAGGAGCCAACAGTGTGATGTGGCTACAAAAAAGGCAAATGTGATATTAGGCTTCATTAATTGAAGTACAGTATAGTTTCCAAACCCCGCAAGGTGCTAGTCCCCCTATATTCAGCACTGGTTAGACCTCACCTTGAGTATTGTGTCCAGTTTTGGACACCATACTTCAAGAAGGATGCTAACAAATTGGAACAAGTTTAGAGGAGGGTGACAAAGATGATCAGCGGAAACCAAGCCTTATGAGGAAAGACTGAAAGAATTGGGTATGTTTAGCCTCCAGAAAAAAGACTGAGAGGTGATATGATAGCACTTTTCAAATATCTGAAAGGCTGTCATACAGAGGAGGGGCAAGATCTGCTCTCAGTCACCCCAGAGTACAGGACACGGAACAATGGGCTCAAGTTAAAGGAAGCCAGATTTCAGTTGAATATCAGGAAAAACTTCCTAACTGTTAGAGCAGTACAACAGTGGAACCAGTTACCTTGGGAGTTGGTGAGTGCTCCAACACTGGAGGCATTCAAGAAAAACTTAGATAATCACCTGGCAGATATGTTTTGATTGTATTTCTGCATTGAGCAGGGGGTTGGACCTGATGTCTTTATAGGCCCCTTACAACTTTACTTTTCTATGATTCTATTATGTGGGATTCCTCAGGAATCGGCACTATCCCCAGTGCTGTTTAATATATATGTTAAGACATTGGGAGAAGTCACCAGGACCTTTAGTGTAAGGCAAAGATCTCTCTGTTATCATATCACCTCTGCAGTGGATGCTGTCCAGATGCTGGAGTGTTGTCCGGCTGCAGTACTGGAATGGACCAGGGCTAAGAGGCTCAAACTGAGGCCAGACAAAACAGAGATTTAGCTCCTTGGGGGGACCTCCAATAGTTTGGGGGGGTGTTCCCTAGGCTGGATGGTACTTCTCTCCAGACCAAGTGCGTAATTTGGGCGTTCTTCTAGACCCGGCTCTCTCTGGTGAGTCCCAGATTAAAGCAGTGTCCAGATCAGCCTTTAACCAGTTTAGGCTAACTGCCCAACTTTGCCCCTACCTAGACAAAGACTCCCTCAGGACTTTGGTGCAGGCCCTGGTCATCTTCCAGATTGACTACTGCAATGCCCTCTATGTGGGGCTTCCCTTGAACCTGATCTAGAGACTTCAGAGGGTCCAGACTGCAGCAGCCAAACTGGTGGTTGGTGCAAGTAAATTCGACCACATCACTCCAGTTCTGGCTTGTCTCCACTTGTTGGCCATGGTGTCCTAGATCAGTTTCAAGGTTTTGACACACACATACAAAGCCCTCCATCGTTTGGGCGCATATTACTTGTCAGAATGTCCTTTATGTCATCTGCATGACCTGAAAGATCATACCAGTTGAGGCTCCTCCAGGTGGCCACCCCGAGGGAGGCCCATAAATACTCTACAAGAGGTAGGGGCTTCTTTGCAATGGCTCCAACTTTATGGAACCAGCTTCCAGAGGAGCTCCACCTAGCCCCCTCCCTGTGGACTTTTAGGAAGCAATTAAAGACATTGCTTTTCAGGGAGGCTTTCCACACCGAACCCAGCTGACCACCTTTCGCCCACTTTTTTTCTTTCCACTCCTCTTCTTCCCTCCCCTCTTTTCCTCCATCCGCTCTGGGATTTAATCAGTGTATCTCTCTCTCTCTTTTGTAGGGTTATTACTATTGGCTTTAATATTTCTATTTTTATTTTTGTTTTCTATTTTATGAATTGTAACCCACCCAGTGTTGTGACACTAATGGGAGTAGGATACTAAACAAAGAAACAAACAGACACATCAGCTATTCTGTCACTGCTTAACTGTGCAACCCCATAAGAAATTACCAGATGACTTTGTTGAAAATAAAGCAAACTGCAGTTTAAGGCTCTTTACTTCCCCTCCCATCTCTGCATCCAGATCTGGCATGTTTATCTGTGGGGAGAATTCATGTAATGAAAGTTGACACCAAAAAGCCCTATTTCTAGCTGTTTGCCTCTGATTATGATGATATTCATAACAGGAGCTCAAAAAATAAACCCTTATTCTGGGGATAGAGGTAGCTCATACAGTTATTCAATCATTCCCTCAGATATTCCAAACCCAGACCATGGCTTAATAATCAAAAACAACATTTTGAATTTAGCCCAAAAACTAACCGGGGGGGGGGGAGAGAGGACGGGGAAGCTATCCCAGGTTTATGTAATGGTTTCCATTTGAGCTGTCCCAGGTTTTGTGTAATGGCCTGAGTTATGCCACAAATCAGCTGAGGCTTCCCAGTTGCCTCCACCACACAGCACATTGCAACAACCAACTTCATAAATTAGCAGACCATGTAAAACTGTGACAGTGTCCTTGCTGGGCATTCTTAAAAAGTGGGGTGGGTGGTCTTTCTACTTGGTAAATCACCTTACAGCCAAATCAGAGTGATTCTACAGCAGCCTACCCAGGCCTAGAATGAAATACCCTTTTTAAAATGGTGATGCAGGATCAGTCTATCAGAGCTGACAGGAAATTCAGCTCTGTGTGCCTCTGTGTGTGTCTGTGTCTAGAGGACGTCTCTAGAGAACATTTAAGGCTCTCCAAAATTCATTTTCGTTTGCAAGCATAGAGCTGGCTGGATAGCTCAGTGGTTTGGGTATTTGGCTGCAGTCCCAGGATGTCTCAGAAGAAGGGAATGGTGAACCACTTCTGAGTATTGTCGACCAAGGAAATACTGGAAGAGTTACCATGTCAGAATCAACTTGACAGCACTGAATTATTATTATTATCTTTGCCATAGCCATATTCCTGGTTCCCTTCTTCTTCTACCACAAATGTCTTCACCTTCCTTCAGTGCTCTGTACTTCTGGGTTTGAACCTAAATGAGGATGTCAGTGATGAGCAGCCATTTTAATTTTCCACTGTGTCACAGATACAATGTTGTTTCGGAAGATCTGTCATCCCTTTCTGTCGCACAAATACTGTGATATAGACTATAGTCATTCATGGTCTTCTAGGGATTCAAGATATTGTAAAGAACCTTTTTGCCCCCTTTTTATGCCTGTCTCCATATTTATATAAAAGCATAGGTTGGCCTTCTCCTAGGTCTTACAGAGAAAGTAGGGCACAGTCAAGAGAAACATTTCGTAGCTATTGTGATAGAAGAAGCCCATTGTATAGGATAGAAAACACGACTACTCCAAATGACATTTGAAATTGTGGTCTCCATCTCCTGGCAGTCATGAGCAAGATAAAGAGAAGGCAACTAAATCACCATCATTACACTCTTTGGCTACTTCTTGTTCAATATTGAGGTCCTCTCAAAAACAAATAAGACCTCAAAACCAGTTGCATCTGAGAAATAAACCATTACAGTAACAGTATCAGCTGGAGACCTAATAGCATTGAATACCATTACCTTACCACCACTAGATCCAAACTTTATTCTTATATAGTACTTACTCAGTGCCAAGTCTTAGCATCAATACTGAGCAGTTCTCCAACATCAAAGGAACTTCAAATTTCATAACCACCTGTAGAGGAAAGAGACAGATACAGTGGTACCTCGCTAGACGACGACCTCGCTAAATGATGAATCTGCATAACGATGACTTTTTGTGATCGCTATAGCGATTCGCAAAACAGTCATTCCAATGGGCGATTTTTGCTTGATGACGATTTGGTCTGTGCTTTGCGAACCGTTTGTTCGTAAGATGACGATTTCTACAGCTGATCGGCGG